AAAGCAATAAACAATGTACTGCAGTCACACAATCAATCAGTAGCTGAACTGGGTTCCACACAGTCACAAAAACAAACAAAAAAAGAGCCGCAAAAACACAAATGCAAAATAAATAGCAAAAGCAGACAGAGTAACACTCAAAATGGAGCACGTTTGGCTTCCGAAAAAAGTTCGCAAACCAGAACACTTACTTCTGGGTTTGCAGTGTTTGGGTTCCAAGTTGTTTGAGAACCAAGGTGTTTGAGAACCAAGGCACCACTGTATTGTAGCAATCTTATGGCTCATTAAAGCAGGCTTCCCCAGCCAGCTTGCCTTCCAGATGTTTCGGACTACAATACCCATCAACCCCAACCAGCACGGACATATGATTCTGTGCCTGATGGGAGCTGTAGTCAGTGATGTCAGAAGGGCACCAGGTTGGGGAAGGGTGGAGTAGAGCAAAGCAATGCATCTTGCAGTCTTCAATGATGATTATAAGAAGCAGAGAACAGGGTGCTGGATGAGGCCAAGGGGGCATTTAGTCCAGCATCAGTGCTGGGGGCACTGTCATACGGTGGTTCCGCGCCTTCCTCCTGGGCCGTGTTCAGAAAGTGGGGGGATGAGTGTTCAGACCCCTGGGCTCTCACTTGTGGGGTGCCTCAGGGTTCTGTCCTCTCCCCCCATGCTTTTCAACATCTACATGCAGCTGCTGGGAGAGATCATCAGGGGGTTTGGGCTGGGTGTCCATCAGTATGCGGATGACACCCAACTCTACCTCTCTTTCAAATCGGAACCAGTGAAGGCGGTGAAGGTCCTGTGTGAGTGTCTGGAGGCGGTTGGAGGATAGATGGAGGCTAAGAGATTGAGGTTGAATCCTGACAAGACAAAAGTACTGTTTTGGGGGGACAGGAGGTGGGCGGGTGTGGAGGACTCCCTGGTTCTGAATGGGGTAACTGTGCCCCTGAAGAACCAGGTGCGCAGCCTGGGAGTCATTTTGGACTCACAGCTGTCCATGGAGGCGCAAGTCAATTCTGTATTGAGGGCGGGCTTTCTACCAGCTCCATCTGGTACGCAGGATGAGACCCTACCTGCCCGCAGACTGTCTCGCCAGAGTGGTGCATGCTCTAGTTATCTCTCGCTTAGACTACTACAATGCACTCTATGTGGGGCTACCTTTGAAGGTGACCCAGTATGTGGCAGCTAGACTGATGACTGTGAGCGGCTGCTGAGACCACGTAACACCGGTCTTGAAAGACCTACATTGGCTCCCAGTACGTTTCCGAGCACAATTCAAAGTCTTGGTGCTGGCCTTTAAAGCCCTAAACGGCCTCGGTCCAGTATATCTGAAGGAGCGTCTCCACCTCCATCGTTCTGCCCGGACACTGAGGTCCAGCGCTGAGGGCCTTCTGGCGGTTCCCTCATTGCGAGAAGCCAAGATACAGGGAACCAGCCAGAGGGCCTTCGTGGTAGTGGCACCCGCCCTGTGGAACGCCCTCCCACCAGATGTCAAAGAGAAAAATAACTACCAAACTTTTAGAAGACATCTGAAGCAGCCCTGTTTAATGTTTAATAGACTATTGTATTTTAATATTCTGTTGAAACCTGCCCAGAATGACTGGGGAAACCCAGCCAGATGGGCGAGGTATATATAAATAATTAATTATTATTATTATTATTATTATTATTACTATTACTATTATTACTATTATTATTTTATTATTATTTTCACCGTGGCCATAAAAATTCCCATTATGGGAAACCGAGAAGCAGGTCATCTAGTCTGATCTCAGCTAGATCATCCCTGACAGGTGGCCATCCAGCCTCTGCTTAAAAACCTCCAAGGATGGAGAGTCCATCACCTCCCGAAGGAGACTATTCCACTATCAAACAGCTCTCACTGTCAGAAAGTTCTTCCTGAAGTTTAGTCGGAATCTTGTTTCTTGTAACTTGAAGCCATTTCTTCAAGTGCTACGCTCCAGCAGATCTCAGTGTGGTTCACAACATGAAATTACAATATAAGAAACTCAAATTTCGTAATAAAAGCAAAAGCAAACCAATAATCCCCCTTCCTACAATAGCTCAGTTGGTAGAGCACGAGACTCTTCATCTCAGGGTCGTGGGCTTGAGCCCAAGGTTGGGCAAAAAAGATTCCAGCATTTGCAGAGAGCTGGACTAGAAGACACTTGTGGTCTGTAACTACTCCATTCCAAACTTGAAAATGGAAAGCGTAGTGCTGGTGGTCAACAAAAGAGGTTTAAAGACTGTCTCAAGGCAAATCTTAAAAATGTAGTATAAACACCAACAATTGGGAAACACTGGCCTGCAAGCGCTCCAGTTGGAGAACAGCCTTTACCAAAGGTGTCATGGGCTTTGAAGACACTCGAACTCAGGACACAAGGGAGAAACGTGCTAAGAGGAAGGCACACTTGGTAAATCCACACCGGATCAACTCCCACCTGGAAACCTATGTCCCCACTGTGGAAGGACGTGTGGATCCAGAATTGGCGTCCACCGTCACTTACGGACACACTTTTAAGAACGTGTTCATGGAAGACAATCTTACTCGGCTACGAGTGATCGCCACAGAAGAAGATTCTGTGATTCTGTGATCTGTGTGCACATTTAAAAGGGTATCAGACGTTAACCAGTCACAGGCCTGGTTGAAGAGGAACGTTTTTTCCTGGCGCATAAATGTATATAATGAAGGCACCAGACGAGGATCCCACGAATGGGGAGCCACTGCAGAAAAGGCCCCGTTCTCGTGTTGCCACCCTCTGGAGGTGTGATGGAGGTTCTCGTGTTGCCACACCCATGGAGGTGTGATGGAGAGCGCCAGGCTGCCAAAGGCAGCTTTAAAATACAGTGGTGCCTCGCAAGACGAAATTAATTCGTTCCGCAAGTCTCTTCGTCTTGCGGTTTTTTCGTCTTGCGATGCACGGTTTCCCATAGGAATGCATTGAAAATCAATTAATGCGTTCCTAGGGAAACCGCCTTCAGACCAGGTCCGGGGACAGTCTGTCCCCGGACCTCTTCTGAAGGCTGGGGGGGGGACAAGGGCTTTTCTTCCCACCCCCGGCATTTTAAAAAACCCTGGGACAGCGGAGGACTTCTCCGCTGTCCGGGGCGATTTAAAAGCCCCTGGGAAGGCAGGCAGGGGGGACAAAGACTTTCGCCCCCTGCCCGCCTTCAGAAGGTGTTCCCGCCCCCCGCCCCGCTTCGGAACAGCTTTCCGAAGTGGGGCGGCTGGGGCAGATGTCCCCGCCCCCCCTCCCCGCTTCGGAACAGCTTTCCGAAGTGGGGCGGCTGGGGCAGATGTCCCCGCCCCCCCCCCCGCTTCGGAACAGCTTTCCGAAGTGGGGCGGCGGGGGGTCCCCGCCCCCCGTCAACAGCTTTCCGAAGTGGGGCGGCTGGGCAGTGTCCCCGCCCCCCTCCCCGCTTCGGAACAGCTTTCCGAAGTGGGGCGGCTGGGGCAGGTGTCCCCACCCCCCCCTTCGGAACAGCGTTTTAAAATGCTGGGGGTCGGGAGCGAAGCGCTGCCGACCCCCAGCATTTTAAAACCTTCCCGGGACACGGGGAGATTTTAAAATGCTGGGGGTCGGCAGCGCTTCGCTCCCGACCCCAGCATTTTAAAACCTCCCGGGACACGGGGAGATTTTAAAATGCTGGGGGTCGGCAGCGCTTCGCTCCCGACCCCCAGCATTTTAAAACCTCCCGGGACACGGGGAGATTTTAAAATGCTGGGGGTCGGCAGCGCTTCGCTCCCGACCCCCAGCATTTTAAAACCTCCCGGGACAGGGGAGATTTTAAAATGCTGGGGGTCGGCAGCTAACGCTTCGCTCCCGACCCCCAGCATTTTAAAATCTCCCCGGGACAGAGACTTCTCTGCTGTCCCTTGGAGATTTTAAAATGCTGGGGGTCGGCAGCGAACGCTTCGCTCCCGCCGCCAGCATTTTAAGATCGCCCCGGGCAGGCGGGGGAAGGCAGGCGGGGGGGAGCAAAGACTTTTGCCCCCCGCCGGCCTTCAGAAGAGGTCCTCTTCTGAAGGCCGGCTGTGGGCGAAAGTCTTTGCTCCCGACCGCCAGCATTTCCCTATGGGCTTTCGTCTTGCGATGCAAGCCCATAGGGAAATTCGTCTTGCGAAGCGCCTCCAAAACAGAAAACCCTTTCGTCTTGCGGGTTTTCCGTCTTGCGAGGCATTCGGTCTTGCGGGGTACCACTGTATTTCCCAACAATTAATCTTCTAATGTCAAACTGAATTTTCAGAACCTCAGCATTTCATCTCTAGCACTAATGGTTGCAGCAAAAGCATTAGAAATTCACTTGCAGTTCACACCAGGACAGAAGGAAGGGAGAAAAGAACTTATTAACTGGATACCATACAGAAGCAATTAGGCATATTTCCCCGATGCTCTTCCCTAATCACTTCATTTACTCACTTGTTTCTTCATATTCAATCTCTTTGTCCCTATTCACAACTCAATACAATCCTCCTTATTTTTTATTCTACCATGCTTATCTCCATGCCTTCCTATATGTTGCTCTCTACCCAGGGACATTCTTCTTCTCTCATTGGTATTTATCAAAGAGGTTTTTTTCCTTCCCAAAGTCACAGAACAGGTAGCTGTAACTCCCTCATCACATTATCAGAGATGCTCCAATGTCACCATCACCACTTCACAGCACACACAATGAAACACTTCCCCCCCTGGATTTCCCCCTAATCTTCAATGAGACTGTACTGACGGCAGGTTCCCTCTCTGTGTATATGCTTAATTCATGGTTATCCAGAGTAAGTTCAAAACTTTCTTATGACTTGTCTATAGAAAGTTGACCATAATTACAACTATTCTATTAAAGTTTTTCAAATATTAACAAAATGGCATGCATTAGTATGTCAATTACCTGTTTTCTACTTTCTTTGTTCTTGCCAGGGCTAGAAGATCGGGACCGTCGCCCTCTACTTCGGCTTCTGGATCTTCTTCTTTCTCGACTGCGTGATCGTCTCCTTTCTCTGCTCCGTTCCCGCTCTCTGCTTCGTGAACGCCTACGCACAAGCAGATTTGGGTAATACTGTGTAAACAAAATAATATTTCTAGTTCAATCATTAAAAAGAGAGATAGTAGAAAATATTCATTAGTAATCTAAAAAAGATTTCATTAGTAATCTAAAAAGAAAACAGGACAAGCATTAATACTAATGATTACAGCTTTTCAAGGAAAATGACCAACTGAGAACACTTCCTACTGGACACATCTTCTAGTTAGAGGCAACCTCTTTCCCCAGAAAACACCCAGTATCTCCCAGGGGAGGAATGTTTTAATAAGTTATTTAATTTTCCTTTGCTTACCTCACACGCTTTCGATCACGTGACCGAGATCTCCTCTTGTCCCTGCTCCGTGATCTTTCACGCCTACGTTCTCTGTCCCTGCTTCTAGAACGTCTATCATCTCCACGTTTTGCTCTTTTGTCAGATGGAGAGCGACTCTTAGAACGGCTACCAGAACGCCCTCGTGATGCGGAGCGCTTCCGATAATGCCTGTGGTAGCAACAGAATGGTCAAGATATACAACAGCAAAATTGGAGTTTAGCATACACAATCACAGATGTTTTCAAAGAATACAATCTTTAGAGCTTTTAAAAAGGTTAAAAATTAGCTCTTGACTTATCTTCACATGCTGGACAAGGATTGAGGAGACACAGCTACAAATCCCCCATGCATAGGGGTCATCTTATACATGGGGGTGTGTTATACACGGGAAAATATGGTAAATAAGATAAAAAATTCAGAACTCATAAGAGGGGCTGACAATGTCATTTTGGTTCTTCGAGTTCTATTATTTTGTACTTAAAGTATTTCCTTTTCAAATGGAAGCATGGCTCAAGGCAAAGAAGCACAACAATAATAGAAGGAAAGCAGTTTAGGAATTAATAAAACAGCGAGTAAAAGCAAAAATAAATGATATACTAACATACTGTGAACCATTTCCAGGCAACTAACTATTAACACTGTTAATTTCTAGGGCTGTAATGTCACGTAGATTATAAATTAGAAGATAACATTATCTAGTTGTTGGCAGCTTGATCAAGCAATCCAATCTCTGGATAATTGTATGCTCAGCCCCTAAATTACAATGGGACAGCCATTCATTTCTGCATTGCCTATTGTTTAATTTTGAGATGGGGTAGAGAAATAATAGAGTAAGAAACAGTAGTATTTTTCTGCCCAAAATGTTAAGAATTGTACTTTCCTTCTACCATATATCATAAATTAGAAGTATTGTGTTAATATCCAAAATACATGCCAAACATTCTCAAGAGAGCCACTAGCTCCCTATAACACAGTTAAGGCTGCTAAGCAAACCATACCAAGAAAATCAAACATAGGGTGAAAAGAGTAAAGTATTACTTAAAACACTACAACCTAAATAAATATCTTGCTAAAACCTTTTGTGGAACTGAAAATATAGAAAAATTAAAGAACTGTATCTTGTAGTACTATGAAAAACCGGCAGGTCCCAGCACTGTTTTCTTCCTTTGCAACAAATGCACTTCATCTTGAGCAGGAAGAACCCACAGACCTTAGAAAAGAATAGGGGCCCTGTGAATATCCAAATTGGGCCCCATACAGATATACTGAAAAAGGATGAGAACTTTACTAATACAATCATTAACATAGTCCATCTGAGCTTAGAAAGTGTGAGATCAAAATCTATTATTTTAAATAGGGTAACTCACTGTTTTTGTTTGGACACCTGTTGCTTTGTTGATCTAAGGAAATGAGAGAGATTAAGATAAGCAAGATGAAACGTTCTACTAAACCAGCATGAAACCTTTCACACTATGTGACATAAATGGTCCAGACTCATGCCATGCAATACTGGGATTTTCCCTAATGTCATGAAACCATATGTTACTGTGAAAGTCATTACAAGCTTATTACATAAGTCTTCAAATCATGTTCCATTTGGTCCAAGAAGCATTACATTGGCTTTTAAGAAATGGCTAATATGGGAATCCATTTGCCTTGAGGCCAGGCTTCACCTGTACAAGACAACCAATCTGTAGAAGTTGTTCCAAGAGAATTAATAATTTCCAGGGCAAACCATAGGGATGTTGGAAAAGAGAGAGGTCCAAATTTTATAAAAATTGTCAGTAATCAGCTATGAATTCCCAAGCACAAAATACACACATTGTCCATTAAAACATATACACATACATATATGCATACCCACACTATTTCAATTCAACATACATGCAGGTAGAGACACAATCACCTGTTGTATGTTTTTTTTAGTATGGAACAGAGTTAAAAACACACACATGCACAATTCATACTTGTTGGATAATGTGCATTTTAAACTCATGGAGTGGGATGAACCTAATGAGGCTTTCCCCCTGGAACCACCCCCCAATTAGCTTAAGGGGAGTCAGGAGAACCTCCAGAACAGTGTCCAGGTGAAAGAGGGGATATCATTCTGTCTGGTGATGGTTGTGCAGATGGAACGTTTCTCATAGTACAACACTGAATTTTACTTAGGTATTCATGTCCACGTACTACAACAAAAATCATAAGAAGCAGCCTTGTGTTATTGTTACTGGTTCAGTGAACAGTCCGAAAGCCTCAAAGGGTGTAATGATGTTAAGCAGGGATGGGTTAGATCAGTGCCTGACAGACTACTGTGGGCCCCACAAAAGTTGCCCTGAGCTTCCTAAAATAAGAATGAGATATAACCAAGAAAAATAAAAATACGCAATCTGCCAAGTCACTATTAAGGCTCTCTCTACAAATTATTTTGGATCAGGTATGCTACAACCATTCATTGCTAGCCTCGGTTCAGCCTAGCTACCATAAACCTGCGCTGCAAATCTGTTTCATCCCAATATTGATTAACAGCAGTAACAGTGGCAGCTAATGACATATTGAACTTTTTTAAAAAAAGAACAAAGTTGACCTTGCCAGAGGGCCTTCTCAATAGTGGCGCCCACCCTGTGGAACGCCCTCCTATCAGATGTCAAAGAAATAAATGACTATATGACATTTAGAAGACATCCGAAGGCAGCCCTGTTTAGGGAAGTTTTTAATGACTGACGTTTTCATATATTTTAAATTTTTTGTTGGAAGCAGCCCAGAGTGGCTGGGGAAACCCAGCCAGATAGGAGGGGTAGAAATAATAGATGATGATGATGATGATGATGATTGTGCACTCTTAAAGTCTAGGTTCTTGGTCTGCTAGAACCTCTCTCATAACAATCACATCGAGTTTGCTGTTTATAACCACAGGTCATCCCAATTTACAGAGGATTATGATCAGTCTGGATAACTAATGGCCTGGTACAGGTGAGAAGCAGCAACAAATTAGAAATTAATAAGCAGAGAGGAGGTATCATTTTGCATATTTTATTACAATTGAGTAGAACCGATCTCATGGACATCAAAATTAATCCAACTTTGTACGGCAAATATGTGGCATTGCCCTTTCTGGATGAAATTCACATTTAGAACACTATTCTGTTGGGTCGTTGAAGCTACTGCTATCGACCTGGGGATGAGGTGGGCTCAAAAATAGGGACAGAAACATTCCTGTCCAGGGGTGGGCTGGGAAAAAAAGGATGGCCATCAGCCGCCTCAAACACATAACAGAGCGAAAAACTGCCCTGATGATGCCCCGTCTAAAGTTGTAAATCACTATAATATAGAAATATCATGACGGACTCTATGAAAGTGTCTGAAATAAAGTCCCGGCCCGTTTGGCAGTTGCGACACTCCCGACGGCGAGAAGCTCGTGGAGAACCTCGCGACCCCCGAACGGCCTTCCTCCCGCGCGGCTCCCCCTGAGGCGGCCCCGCGAAGGGCCTCCCCGAGGGGCCGGCCACTTTTGTCCCGTGCGGAAAGGCCACCGCGGGCAGGGCCCGACCCGCTCCCGCAAAGGCCTCCCGGCTCACCTGGACTCGCGACCCATAGCGGCCTCTTCCTCCTCCTTCCTGACTTGATCCCTCAAGGCTTAGCGGCGGCGGCAGCAGCGGCAGCCATTTCCGAAGGAATAAGCGAAGCGGAAATAAACCGCGCTACGCAGAAAGCGGAAGGAAGCGGCCGTCACCCGCCTTTCCGCCAGCCGGGCACAGCGACCCCTAGCGTCCGGAGGGCCGAGCTTTCACAGGCTCTGGCCGGGACCTTCCTCTCTGCTGCGTGTTTGTGTGGAAGAGGCGTGATGAGATCGCAAGAAGAGCCCCTTCTGGATGGGTCCCAAAGCCCATCTAGTCCAACATCTCGTTCTCATAGTGACCAGACGGATGTCCATGGCAAGCTGATGTTCAACGTATGGATTGTAATTGTAATTGCGCAAATTGTAATCTCTTCTGTAATGGACGGTGCTGAGCTAGGAGACACGTTCCATTTACCAGCTGCTTCGTGATGTTTGCATTTAATACTGACTTGTCTGTGATTCCGTTCTGATTTCTAAGCCACCTTGATGTAAAATAAAATTGACCAATTCTCTTTTTAGCTACAATACGGTTTGATGCCAGAGACAGAAAATGCGGGTGTTACCTCCAGGAGAACAGAAAAGCAATGCACCCAATAAATTTATAATGTATTTAATGCATTGGTCTTCAGCTGGTGAGGAGGGACACACTACCATGGCCTGATCTAAGCTGGGTTGCAAAAGCAGCACTACCACCCCAGAAATTAAGAAAATGTTACCCAAAATGTATGCCTGGGTGCTGGGTTGGAAAAAGCTGAAGGCAATTGCTTCAATGCCCTGTGTACAACTATCTAGTATTAACATACACAAATACCCAAAACTAGCTAATATGATGTGATAGCAAATACTTCCTACTTACAACTTGGATTCATGTCTAACACAGACCAGGTATGCAACTATTTATCTTAATGGAGATGGTAAGAGTATTGCTATAGGATTGGGTGGCTGGTTTGGCTAATGCCTGTGGATCCCAGCCAAGTCTGATTTTTTTTTATCTATAAGACTGTAGTCTGTGGTAGAAGGAACTGCTGAACTGGCCAAACCAGTTTGTTTGTTTTTTTAAGTTAACAGCCTAGCTGGGCTGCTAAGCACCTTTTTTGTTACAAGAATAGAGAGTTGGCCATGCTGCAATAGGAACAAGAAGCTAATGGTGCTTCCAGGAAGAGAGATGACATATTGTAAGTAGGAGACTAGCCAAGAGCTAGTCACAATTTTTAGTCTGGGCTGAAGCTGCAAAAAAACAGGAGGCCTGACTTTCCCTGTGTGCTTAATCCAGAACTATGGGTTTGGAGATCTCCCTATAAACTAGGGAAGCAAGATCTATAAACTAGGGAAGCAAGTTTATAAACTAGGGAAGCAATATCTATTCATGTGTTAATGCCCTGTTTAGTGAAATGTTTGATGTTTTATTGTGCTTTTGATTCTGTTAGGAGACACCCAGAGTGGCTGGGGAAACCCAGACAGGTGGGCAGGGTATAAATAATATGTTGTTATTTTGTTATACTAAATCATATATCCTAAAATCACCAGTCTCCAGTGACCTTCACTCCAAGGAAACTGAATTGAGGTGTGTGCAACAGTATTACAGTGAGCAGAATGATGGGATGAGGAGACCTGGGATAGCAAGTTCTTTAATTGTATGGAATTATTGCTATTTCATGCCGCTTTCAGTGACTTTAAATGCAGAGACATGCTACATCAATCTGCTTTAATTCGTATGTCTATAGATATACTTTTTTAACACAGTCACTGCCTAAGCATCTTACAAATATGCTAAGATGCTCCAGTACACCATGTGACTAATGGATGTAGATATAAATAAATAAAACAAACCACCAAATCTGGAGAGAGACTGGACAACTGTTGACCAAGTAGTAGTGCATTGGTATAAGCTAAAGGTACCCCTGCCGGTACGGGCCAGTCTTGACAGACTCTAGGGTTGTGCGCTCATCTCACTCTAGAGGCCGGGAGCCAGCGCTGTCCGCAGACACTTCCGGGTCACGTGGCCAGCGTGACGAAGCTGCTCCGGCGAACCGGCACCAGAGAAGCACACGGAACGCCGTTTACCTTCCCGCTAGAAAGCGGTACCTATTTATCTACTTGCACTTAATTGTGCTTTTCGAACTGCTAGGTGGGCAGGAGCTGGGACCGAACGACGGGAGCTCATCCCGCCGCGGGGATTCGAACCGCTGACCATGCAATCGGCAAGTCCTAGGCACTTAGGTTTTACCCACAGCGCCACCCGCGTCCCTGTGCATTGGTATAGCCTACAGTAAAAAGTTACTTCGTGGTCATGATGGAACTGGGTGGGTGAGATGGGAGCAGGATTGGCAGAGAAGCATGCTCAGTTTGTTAGTATGACAAAGGGTGAAATAATCTTCCTTTTTTACAGATGTCCAAACACAGTGTTCCGTAGTGCTCCAGATGTTCTTTCAGGGTGGAATTGCACAGTACAGTACCACAGTGTACATTTTTCACAATTGTAAATAGAAATATGACATTTCTTTAATTCTCTCATTAGTTCCTGTGCTAATTTTTCTAAAAGGGTGACATGCAATGCTTGTTGCTACCAGCTGTTCAGCATAACTCCCATTCTGGTCTTTCTACACATTATTGTCCTTGTTCAGCTGGCAGATGGCATGTTGCTATTGTGGTGGTAAACAGATTCAACAGAGCTAACTGCAGTGTTTAATTCTTTACTTTCTAAATCATGCTTGTCCATAAGTTAAATGAACATATATTCTATAGTTGGAAATGAAAATAACATTGGAAATATATTAGTAAAACACTTGACAACCCAAGTAGTCTTTAAAAATGAATTACAAAGGCATGCCAACAAATAAATGGTTAACAGACTTCATAGAAGCAGTCTAGAAATAATTACACTGGAGGACATACATGACCACATGAGGTTTATTGGATTTTGCAAAATGAGGTTTTTGCAAAAGGAACCACATACAAAACACCTTTTTACTATTCACCTGCTATCCCACCCTATACATCACTTTTCATAGCGGAAGTGGGCAATATGGGAAAATTCTATATTCTACCCATTAAATTTTAGACTTGATACTGATTTATCACTGTTGAAAAGTCCAGCTTGGCAAATATGAATTAAAGAAATTCACAAACACCAGCTGAAAGGTGTTTTAATGGTTAAGTCTATCAGCTTTCTGAAACTGTTAGTTGGGAATGATGAAAACTTCAAAGCATTTTGAAGGTGTGACGCAGATACAGTATTTCTGCAAGTCACTCCTTACAGATAGAATTATTAATGCCAGCTCAATTTCAGCCCTCACTTGCAAAGCAATTGTTCTGAATCTTTTGTATTACATCCATTAGCTTCAAATAGAACCTTTCAACATGTTGACAGAGATATAGTCAGACCTTAACATATACAATTAGATGCTGAGAGTTTATCGTAGTGCAAAGTCTACTGAACACAATATCATGGCCCGATTCTAGAGAGGAAAGAAATACATGCCCAGGAAAGAACTCAGATACAAACAGGGCTTTGCTTGCTGTTTTTGCCACAACAGTTCCTACTGCTAAAGAGTAAAGTTGGTTTTTTAAACTGAGCAGACTCATGTCTTCAGCACGGGGAACTGCCATGGCAAACGCCTCAATCCAAGTGCACAGATGTCTCCAGTGCATCCATATTTACTCTAAAAACTCTTTTCTTCATATAACAGATACAATTAGAACAATGAAACTTGGGTCAATGAATGCAGTATTAAAACTGTAACGGAGGAAAGAAGCAAAATAAGGAAAACAGCTTATTTTGATTATTCAAAACAAAAACAAAGAAGTGACCGCCTCTAAAAAGAGAAGCTACATTAGCCTCTATAATCACAGAATGATTTCAGTAACTTAGGGGATCACAGCTACATGGGTAACACCTATCGTTTACGATGGCCACTGTACCTCCAGAACATTTAATCCCATTAATTCTTAAGGTCCCAGGCAAATATCCATTCATCCTTCAGCATAAAGGGAACTATTACATAATAGCCTGATTTCTCCCAGCCTAATTTCTCACTGAATACCTAAGTCTGGTGCCAATTACTTGTCAGGGTGGCAGGTTCAGAAGTCAACCAGGGATCGCAAACATTGCACACAGCACTGAAGCAGAGCAGAGAAAGATGGGGAGGGAGAAAGGAAGGTTGGGTGTGCATGCTCTCTTAATCTGGGCTTCCTCTGAACAAGCCTTTAAATATTATAGGGTTCTTAATTTATTTTTATTTTTTAGTAATAAAATCTGTTTTTAATGGTAAACAACAACTGTGATTTACTGAAGGAACTTAACTCTAAATAAATAAATAAATATGAAGGACCACCAGCTAAAACCAAGTAAAGACTTGTTTTATGGTACTGACCAATAGAACGGAATCTTTCAGAAATGAACCAATCAAGAGCATTTACCTAGAATTGCCCTAATGGTTTTGATGGAAGACGCTTCAAAAGTATCAGATGGGTTATAAAAACTTACTTGTGAGTCAGCATTCCCATGTGAAATGAACATGTAAGCAACTGTACAAACTAATAATTTGATTAAAATTATGGTTAAAATCTGGTCTGTACTCTTACAAGTCACATTTCCCCCCTGCTACTGATAAATGTAATGATCCCTTGAATGTCCAGACAGAAGAGGCTGGACTCCACATGCAATATTCTTGCAACGGAAGATATAGGAAATAGGAAGCAGAAACCTGTGTTAGTTTACACTACAATGAACAAAAAATAGCACTTGTCAAGTCAGAGGAATGAGCAAAACTTGTGACATTTTTAGGTACGAAAGTATAGTTACCCAAGAGAGCAGCTTTTAAATCTGCACTAATGCTGTATATTGCATTAGATCATGTAAACACAAGTAATTAAGATTCCTAGTCTGGTAAAAAAAAGGTAACAGGGAATATCCAATGGAAGTCAAACTCAAGAGTAGGATAACTGAAATGAAGGACTAAAATCCACTGATTTTAATGAGTCTACTTTGAGTAAGATTAATGTTTGATATCACCCAATGAATGCTTAATGGGAACACATAAAGAAGTTGAATTTCAAACCTCCCTAACTACAAGAAAGCAAAGAGAATACTACCCCA